ATGGACTGTTTCATGTCCAGTCGAGGTATCGACTGTAAGCAGAGATGACTGAATGCAATCTTGGACAGTAAATCTAATTTCAGAAGGGCAAATGAGAGGAAGGAACAAGGACAGTTTCTGATTCAGAAAGCAGGGATTTACTGTAGGGCCACCATTTTACATATGACCCTAATATTATGATGTCAACCTTCATTTATCTGGGATTACGTTAAACTTCCATATTAAAACTGCAATGTGTGGTAAATAAACTGCTAACAAGAGGTATTAGAGTTAAAATGGTAGTATATTTTCTCTGCATCTCCAACTAAAAATTATGAGTCTAAAATTTGAACCATGAGCAGTAAAGATTTATTTTGGTGTGAGGGTATTTATTCTCTGGACACGTGAGCAGGCCATTTGGGATTTGTACTTGGTCAATATCAGCATTAGTTAAAGCCATAAAATGTTATGTAACATTTGTCTCCCTTGCTACCCCTCCCAACAACACTGGCAGCGTAGCCAAAGTTACACAAGCTTTGCAGAGTGGGAGACAGTTGGCATTCCGGCTAATCCAACTCAACCCAAACCAGCTGACAAGGAGGGGAAAAAAAGCAATAAAAAATTAAGGAATGTCTGCTTCAATTACAATAACATTTGGATCATTACATCATAATCCACATCCGAACATGCAACAAATATCTGAGCTAATGCCCTCTCCAGTGATACACACAGCCAGCTGTGGTTTGGTAAAGCCATCGAAAAGATAAATAGAGAAGGCGTGGTGCACAGTATGGAGGCAGTGAGGGTGGTGGATTAATTGAACAGAAAATATGGAATTAAATATATTTATTTAATTTGCTAAATGATACAATGTAAGCATTGTGTGAAGGAATGTAAAAGATTTGATTTTAATTTTGTTAAATGAACTGATCAGTGAACCTCTGACTTTTCACTGATGATACCATGAAATTAAAAGGCATTAACCCTGCATAGTTGGGTTAAACAATAAAACTTTTTCAGTTCTTTTCCATTCTCATTTTGATCCTCTGCTTCAATTTTTGATACGCCTTATTTTCTTTTCTTCAAACCACTGTCACAATATAGCATTTGTAGCTTCAATCAATAACACTTTATTTCTATAGCACTTTTCAGATGAAAATCAATGCAAAGTGCTCTATTGAATAAAAACCATACATAAGGCCCCCCAACAGCCTCATCCAAACAACTCCCTCCCAAACACAAACTTTACTATTGGCAAACCCTGAATTCATAACTTTAAACAACACGTAGAAATTACTGTCAAATTAATTGGTATATATAAACGTACATATCGTTGTTTCTATTTATTTTGTTCATTTTTTTTAAATCCCACTTCCTCTCTTTGTAGCATCTGTAGCACAAATTAAAAACCCATACATGCAGCACAGGTGCTCTGTTAAAACTCTTGAGGAAAAACTGCATAAAAGCAAACAAAATAGCTAATTTTCAAGACACTTTATGAACTAACATACTGCTCTGATTAAAGCACACTCACCTCAACAGGCCCAATGCTGGAAGTAGCTGCTATGGCATGGCAGTCATTCACATTTTCTGAATAATGCCAATTTCAATCACATTTATGTTAAGGACATGAAGATATCAGATTCATCTTTCAGGCCAAGATAGTTAGATATAGGTATATACTCTGCACTGTGCACAAAACTCACATACTGTAGGATTATAGGCTCTTTCTAAAGGCTCCAATACAAGCAATAATAGACATTACAAGAAGAGTAATACATTTAAAGAAAAATCTCTGAATAGTGTCGTGGTAAGAAAAAAAATCCACCTCCCTTTAATCTTAAGTGTTTCAAAAACACATTCCAATCCTGCAGATATTTACATTTGTTTGCTGTTTTTTAGCTTAAGGTTGTAATCCAATATTTTACCAGCCTAATTAAAAGATTGGATGGTACATAGAACAAAAACCTCCAGTAAATTACTTTCTATGGCAGTTCATTACATAAATTTTTTTCTAGTCAATTGATTTTTACTTAATGTGTTTTTATTTTTACTATTTTACGCATTATCATTCAGTTCTTATATGGTTACTCAAAAGGTAAAATGTTTTTTGTTTATCTGTTTTTTTTTTTAAGATATCTTCTTAACAGATTCATTATATATAGGACTCCCATCCAATATTAACCAATTTAGTAAACGTCACTAATGGGAACAGCTGCTTTATATGAGGAAAACAATACAGTGTATTCTTAAATTCAGATATATTGTGATCTGAATGGAACTATGGGAGTCCATAGTGAGATACATCAGCTGCTCACTTTAACGATATTAGGTGGTAAAGCACTGGATCGGTTGTACAATAATCGATCTGTTCTTGTAAAAAGGCAAATTTTATATCATAATGGTTGTCATGATAGTATGTCAAGCTTTCTCCTAGGTTGTCATAAACAAGGGAAATTATTTTAAATTTCTGGCGAAAGAGAAACATCTCAAACATCATCACAGGAGAGGAAGTGGAGGTGATGGAAGTGTATCATTATGAAGGTGTTCCCCTTTTAGAATAATCCAGAGATGATTTTACAAGGAATTCTCTACAAAATGAAGATTGGTTTCTAATAATCTTCTTCTAATATATGGAAACTCAAACTATTATGACATACACATACAATCCATATATATATGTATATATATATATATACATATATATATATATATGTATATATATATATATATATATATATATCCTCTGCACCAAATACCGCTGTCAGAGTATGCTCTGACAGTGATCAATCATCGGGAGGGGTCCAGTGTACAGTAAATTACAGTCAGGTCCAGATTGATACTAGTTGATGCAGCAGTGTCAGAGAATAAAGAGTAATAAAAAACTTCAAAGAACAATGGTTACAGCTCCTTCTTATACAGCTTCAGAGAGAACAAGCACACAAACGTTGCCATATATGGTTTGTCAGCCTGTAACTCCACTCACCCCCTTAGGATAGTTAGGAGTCCATTCATTGCCTTTTTTGAACACTCTTAGTATAAACATTTGGCAAAGGAATGTGCTCCCATCAAAACCTAAAGCTTTGAGAATCAGACACTACTAAAGAGTTTTTGAAGTGAACTGAATTTAACAGAATGATTAATGAGGAAGGATGAAATGCAATTTCAACCCCTTCTTTTGTTTTGGGACACCTACATTAATGTGTTTTTAAGTTTAATGTGCACATAAGAGAGTATATGTATAAACAGATTTGATAAAGGAAAGAGATCTGCAAACTTACAACAACATTGTCATTTAACTAAGCTGAGAGACTAATCAAGGAGAGCATTAGCCATGGAAGTGGGCAGGTGGCCCAAGATATACCTGGATGAGTTAGAAATTCAAAACTCAGATAGGAACATATTTTAAAAACCTTGAGGAACAAGGACCCTGTTCTAATCAGCCGGAACAATGACTTAATTTAATCATCAAGTTGTTCTCCAACCATTATTGCAACCAAAGCGTCAACATTTGTACATCAAGCCATCTAATTTTGCAGCGCAAACATATGTATTGTGCAGCCTTACTTACACCCCCTACAGCGTGAACACAGTGATGGCAGCATTATACTTGGTTAGATGTTTTTTAGCGCTGCATACAATTGGCCTGAATTTATGCTATCGATCAAGTGAGAATGAAAAAAATAGCTCAACTGTTTAGATCTGGAAATTTGGTAGAGACAATACATAATCCCCAAAGATGTACTATTTGATTGATTGATTGATTGATTGATTGATTGATTGATTGATTGATTGATTGATTGATTGATTGATTGATTGATTGATTGATTGAGTACATTTATTTCAGATGATTTCCACCATGGAGCAAGAAGGTTTTGGGATTGATACCCGGCCTGGGGTCTTTCTGCATGGAGATGGCATGTTCTCCCTGCATGTTCCTCCAAAAGTCCCAAAACATGACTGTTGGGTTAATTGGCTTCTCTAAATTCTTCTTAGGTGTGAGTGTGTACGTGAATGGTTGTTTGTCCTTTTTTTTCTCTGTGTTGCCCTGCGATGGACTGGAGAACTATCCAGGGTGTACCCCGCCTCTCGCCCGTATACCAGCACCCCTCATGACCCTGCTTGGGATAAGCGTGTCAGAAAATGGATGGATGATTGGATTTCCACCATCAAAAATAATTGTTTAAATAAAATGTACAAATGGAAAAAGAACAACGTATATATGTATTCTTTAGTATAAACTCAATGCTGCATTACATATCCTTAGAACATAAAGGAAATAGATTAAACACTCTAAATTTCAAGTTGAATAAACTATAAATAGGTATTTATGCCCTCAGATATGAACGATTGTCTGAAAAGCGGTATGAGGTAAAAGTTGTATATATCCTAAGCAACAGGTGGTTATACCAACATACAACTTTCGTTCTCTTTCCCTGAACTTTGTTGCCTCTAATTTAAATCTGTTTTGAATTTACCATGGCCTAGAGTTTGCATAGGCAACTAGTACTTACAAAGTGTTGACTTAGAGGGGTTGGATAGGTTTAACACAGCTCTTCAAATTTATGTTTGTGAAACAAACAAGCAAACACTGATTTTTTTTTCTTCTTTCTGCCTCAAAATTAGGCAGAATATTAGAATGTAATATGATCTGAAGTATGTTGTGAGAAAATGTGGAAAGATATTTGTTTTTACCCCTGTGACCAAGTTGAAAACTGTGAATTGGTCACCCTTATTTTGCATATTTAAGTCGTTATGGTAGTTTACATAGATGCTTTATTGGAAAAGAATAATAAATAAAAAAAAGTCTGAAAGCTCATCAAAAACAGAAAAGATATTAACGAAAAAGAAATGTTGACAGATGTTCAGAGAGGATGACATAGGGATCTCACGGGCCATATTATCATTATGTAAATAAGGTGCAGGAACATGTGCCAGTTAAACCGCAGTGCCGTACGGAGAGAGGGATGAAGCACAGGCGCTGCACGGCAGGAGCCGGGGCCGTCGGTAGATGGCGGTAACCCTAGAAACCTGATCCACCGGGCTCCCGTGCGCTCCGTCTCAGTTTGCAGCACTCGCATCTGAAGACCAGAGAAGCCGAACAGTTTGAAGGACACCGAGAAGAACCAGCAGAGCCCACGGCGGGTCCTCTCTCGCGAGCAGGCGGCGGAGAGCTCTGTCAACAGAGAACAACGGGCAAACTCGTCGCACCATGGAAGACAAATCCAATTCGTTCTCCAGTAACAAGGAGGAGAAGGCGGATGGGAATAATGTTTTTCAGAGACAAGACTCGATACAGAAAAATAACACGGGGAGCCAGAATACAAAGGACCATGGCAACTCCGTGGGCTTCAAGGGGGAGAGGGAAGAGGCCATGGTGGGCTTTGATGATCTGGACGGGGCGTCCAGGCAGCATGGTTTTATGCAGAGGCAATTCGGGGCGATGATGCAGCCCGGAGTCAATAAGTTCTCCTTGCGTATGTTCGGCAGTCAGAAAGCCGTGGAGAAAGAGCAGGAGAGGGTCCAGACGGCCGGATACTGGATCATTCATCCGTATAGCGATTTTAGGTAAGGACTGTAATAGACACCTGCTCACCCCTCCCTCTGATTGCATCCCCTCCGTCACCCAAAGGGTCTGAGAGATATAGCCTCATACAGCCTGGCCCCTGAGCGCATCCACTAATCTACCTCTGCATGTAAGCAATCCGGTTTCTGCAGGCGGAGAAGCTCTTCTGCTCCAAGGCTTTTTCATTGCGACACATTAAAAAAAAGATCATGATTAAGATTAAGGCGAAATGCATATTTTGATGGAGTGTCCTTGGGGGTAGAATGCTGAATGTCAGGGTTTGCAAACACTCTCACAGTTCAGATTTTCTGCCTGTTTCATGCAAACTGGGTGACATAGTCCGCTATCTGAAGGAGCGACTTCACCTGGGAACAACGTGACAAAAACCTCTGCAGCATCACGGTAGTAAACATTTCATTGTAGGCGGCGGTGAAGCGAGGGGCCTGCGTGCAGGAAGAATGCACAAAATGCGGTAAAATCAGGCAGGGAGGACGAAAAGAAGCAAAAACTGCCATGTTGAATAAATTTAGGAAAACTAAAGCGGTGATGTAAGGTTATATCTGAGTTGCTGCCATCGGAATTTCAAACATCTTTCTGCATACGAGGGCAGAACATATGTGCAAACTCTAGCAGGCTGTTCTGGGTTATCTTCCACCTAGTGAACCCCGAAAATTTTATTTCTTTCACAATCTAAAACAGATAACCAGGACGATGTTTTTCTTTCCTCTCAACTAACTTTTATTTTTTTTATTTCTTATTCTAGTTTTATTTACATAAATAAATAGTTTTATTCTACTATTTAGATTCTAGTCTAAAGCCATCTTCACAATTTCACAACAACACAAATAGTAACTGAGCTATAATCATTTAAAGATGCTGAGTTTGATATGTTCCCCCAATTATTCTTCAGAAGAACTATAGACTGCGGTTAAAGGAGGTTATAACTCCTTCCATAAGTGGCAGTATTATTTATATTTGTATGATTGCCTTATTTACATATATTAATTCACATAAAATACCTTTCCAGCACCAACTAGACCATGCTCGTGAAATACCAGTTACACACATGCTGCATGTTTACATATTTACAGTTCAATTCTTGACCAATTAAGCGTCTCATCTGGTCCAATCTTTGCACCAGTGGCCTTTTGGCAGGGAAACACTGAGCCCAGTTGCTCCCTCCCTTTGCCTCCATAACGGAGCTGTCCGTGGTCCTGAACCAGTGGTAAAGAACTGTGAGTGCAGCACACTGGGTGCGCTGCTAATGATGTACAGTCCACTTGTTCTCAGGTTAAATACGAGGAACCATATATTTCTTCTACTTTTCATTTTGTTAAAATTTTGCATAGAACGGAGCAGGAAAAATATGTTCCATCATACTTTTAATGAGATGCCATATAAATTGTCAGAGTAACTTCCTTTCTTTTATATGCTGTCTTTTTAGAGAGAGGAATAATGTAATGTGCCCTTTCCCCAATAATTTCTTGAACTGATCAACTGGTTGAAGCGCTGTTCTTGCACTTTTCCAATGTTTAGAAGAAACTTCAATGTGCCTCTCTTTAAAAAATTTATTGCTGTAGAAAAGTATTCACTAACATTAATAGTGACCAATCATCACTACCAGTAATACAATAGAATGTTTACGTCTTTCACTATAAAAATAACTATTAACTATGTAGAGTATTACTGTATTATCCGCTAACAGTAAAGTATGTTTAAAGGTACAGACACAACCATATGCAGATGCCGTTATGGACATACAGATGTGCAACGATGGAGGGCAAGGATTAACAACGCACAGCAGTAAATGAGCTTAGTAGAAAATATAAACAATTACATAAGAAGACTGACCCATCTAAAGATGTCCAAATGTTATGGCACGAACAAAGAGAAGTAATCCATACATCCTTAAGATAGTATTTGCTTTGTATGAGCAGTGTGTTAAAGCAGATTTCAGTGAATAAAAACAGAGGAAAAGTCGCAGCAAAACGACCAGACTCATCTCCTCCTACTTTCTGTCATAGTATTGCAAAATGTTCCTGTTACCAGAGCTTTGGAAGGTTGGGCTCAGGTACCCGTGACATTTTCCAAATAGTAATTCGACAGAATTAATTTTCTCCCTTTAGTCAATGTAAACCTACAATAATGCTTCCCCGTCCTAACATTGGTAGACCGTACTCCAGATATCTACAATAGCTTTTGTTAATTAGTCAGTGCAGTGTTTTACATCCAAATATAAAAAGAGTATTGCATAAAACATCACAGGGTGACACCACTATTGGTGGTATGTTACTTTGTGGGAGTGTTTGAAACTCAATATGCAACATATTCTTTGTGCACATGACCTGCTCAAAGATTAATATCAGGTTAGTAATATCTATTATTCATGGATTATTTTAGAGAGGCTTCATGTCTTTCTACATGGACCTGTTATGTTTTGATGGGCTCTGCCACAGTCTACTTTGAAGGGAAGACTGCTAATATGCCATTTTGAAAATTAGTGATGCACTCATCAAGCTTTTCCTATATAGGGGCTTCTATTTTCTTGTCCCATCGTTTTATCTCTTGTAAATAGTCTACAAAAAAAAAAAAGAAAGAAAGAAAAAGGTGCAATGTAGTTTTGTATGGAAGCTGTCGCTTTGAATGAAAAAAAAAAGAAACTGCAGGTTTTTCTCATTTATGCATCAATGTATTTATTCCTCACTTTATCTAAAATATCACTTTGTAAAACCAAAATGAGTCATGAAAGCTCATATAAATGTTTTTAATTTACAAACAATTGTGTCAGCTTTTATTTTGTACCATTCATACACCAAAATAAGAGCTTTTATACAAAACCATTCATAGTTTTAACTAAATAAATGAAAAAATGAAAAATCTAAATCACCAATGAAAGTCTCTATGGAAAAAATTTTAAGAACATATTACCAGATTGCAGTATCTGATAGTTCTATTGGTGCATCTCAACTTAATAAATGGCATTGCTGCGTTTGTAAAAACAAACTAATCCTTCTTTCAGTTAAAACATTAGAAGTGTAGCACATGACATTGTACAATGAGAGTGTCCAAATATTTTAAATGATAAAAATGTAATAGTATAGGGAAGCCAGTACACATAATTCAATCAACAATGATTAAGGCTTGGCTGTACATATATATTGCAATTCCATCCATAAATTGCTTTGGCCCCACTTTAATTGAGTCAAAGATTGTACGTAACTCGCTGCACACATCATTACTTGGTGACCTTTCAATACGTGCTTTACCTGTTATAGTGCAGACAGGATTGGACCAGCCTGTGCTGACTAAGATCATGTGGGGTTCCCTCTGTTGCTTGGCAGGATTGGCCTGGCACTGATTATGATGGATCGCTTGTTGTAAAGAGGAAATCTACAAGAAAAAAAAAAGTACTGGCTTGATTTAAAGCAGGATTAGTTCCACTGCTGAATCCCTCTTCCTGGGAATTTTAGTTCAAGGTTCATGCCTTTTAAAACTTTAAGCTCTGGTATGTGCATGGACAGTTTGCCCTATTTTTTTTGTTGGTCTGTGTATTTATTTTTTCTTAAAATTATATATTGAACTGGTGCACAAGGGATTTGCAGTCTCTGCGTTCCTAATGCAGAGTCAAGTGTGTCTTGCTTCTGTCTCATGTTAATCAATGACGGCTGACTTGTTTGGGTGTGTGGGGTGAGGTGCAGTGTGAAGCATGGAAGAAGAGTGTGCAGCTCATCTGGAGGTGACTGACTGCAAAGCTGAACAGAAGTACAGGAGAGTACTTCTTGAATAATGCACTCTGTCCATTGCTTGACACATTAAATCTGAAGCAGGTGCTGAGTTAGAGTCTGAATGCAAAGCCAGAAGGTACAGTTTCAACTGTGCACTGCTACTGGTTTAACTGGGGCTGGGTAAACCCTGGGAACTGAAGCATTAATCCGAGAGCTTAGTCCAAGGATAACTGAGAACATTAATACGGTTGTAGAACTGCTGTTCTTGTTGGAGTCTTGTGACTTATTCTGATAACAGCAAACACCACCTTCTTAGATTATATAAATATCACATAGAATCTTTGAGTTCAGATTAAAACTTTGTAAAGTGTCTAACTTCTGTTATTTTCAGTGGGTTTAATAAAGGTTATGCACAGTATGATTGTTAGTCACAACAAGTCATGATAGTGATAAAGGTATATAAAGATGGGGCCAACATTTTTTATGATAATATAAATGAAAAACATCCAAGATTTCGATAACTTGAAGCCTAACCTTTTGAATATTCTGATTTTGCTTTAGTGAGACTTACTGCTTTAACAGCAAGCTTACATTCCATCTTCTCTTTACTCGTTTTATTTCAGTCTCCACTTTTGACCCCTCCACACCTCCGTATCACCGCCACCATATAAATGTTCACATTCTTGGTGTCCCTTGACACCTAAAAGATGAATCATAGCATATAATTTTACTGCAGCTTTTAATATTCTGTGACAATGCAACCTCACAGAATTGGGAAGGTTTTTAAAGTGAAAGCAATATAGTTTTAAACATATTTTTACCAGCATCTGAAAAGCATGACATGTTACAGTACTCAGGGTTTGTTAGTTGTGCACCCCATAAATCTGACCACAGTGGATAACTGATGGAAAATGGGGGAGAAGAAGGTACTGTCACTAACCAGCAATACAAAAAACACAACAAACAGCTGTAGAGAGTTCATAGGAAGATGGTTCCTGTAAATGACAGCCAAACTTTCCAGCAAGACAGGAATGATAAACATACAACCAGAACCTTATTGGAAGGGTTAGATCAAAGCAATGTCATGTGTTGGAATGGCCCAGTGAACATCTAGCTTTAGCTCCAGATAAAAATCTGCAACAAGACAGAAAGATACTAACACAAATGCATTCCTTTTAGTCTGACAATGTTTTGCTAATTTAAAAAAAGAAAATATTTAGCAAATTTTAGATGTCAAAGCTGATTAGAAGAGAATAGAATTCAACTTTATTCTCATTACTGTCACAAGTATAAAGCAATGAAATGTAGTTTGCATCTACATATAAGTGCTATACAGGATATAAATATTTATTTACATGTGTACAGAGATTATATATGTCTTGACTATAAATGGTATATATAAACAGGGAATAATTGTAAGATGCTAAAAATAAATAAATATGAAAACTATATACAGATTATATAGGACATTTAGGATATGGATTATATATATATTATAATCCATGGTTGTGACAGAGCCTAAAATACTTGCTGTTGTAATTGCAGCAAAAACATGCATGTCACAGTGTTGAGATTGTCCTTGGTTAAAATGAACACTGCACTGGTGTATATGATAAATTTTGATCATTATTGTGTCATCAACATGACATAAATAGGAAGGAGTATGAATAACGTTCCTGTAATGGTGTATTTCAGTGGTTGAACTCAAATGTTAGATTAACAAAAATTCCTCTTTCTATTTCTAAGGCCTAAAATATTCAATTAAAGGTTGTCATTGTTATAATAGCATTCACATCTTAAAATAATGCATTCCTAAGGGAATCTTTAAGCTTAAAATACCAATGGCATCATACAATGTCCTTAAACATCCTCACCAGAGCTTGAAATCTGCTGCTGGTGTAAAAATACTTCCAGTGGTTTTTTTATCAGCCACCTCAAAGACCGCTTCTCAGTCAAAGTGAAGACAATTATCGGACACATGATCTGTGGATATTTATAAAGCCAAGGCCTTGGTTTAATTTATTCACATAGATCCATTACTGCGTAGCCGGTCCTCCCGTCTGACAGGCTGCCTGCCAAGCAGCCGGTAAGTCCATTTCCACCTTTGGTAACGTCAGCGGGCTGGTAGTGAGGCAGGGAAAGACGCAATGAGGGTGGTGTCGGTGGAGAGTTTTTAGAAGGAGATAGGATTCCTGGAAGCATTTATTCTCATTTTGTAGTCACTCAGCCTTTGCTGGGGTCTGGGACACTTGGTGAACAGAGCATGGGAACTGATGAATCACTCCTGCCTTTTTCCTTTTACATTTTTTTTTTCTTCGCACGGCCAGGCAGAGCGCAGGGACATTAACTGGACTGTGAAGTATGAGAAGGTCTCAGTCCAAAGATTTCTGAGAAGGGATAATAAATGGCAGCAGTTGATAACACTGTCCTTGATTCATTGTTAACTTTGAGTTTAGATTTAGTGATGACTCTGATGCACATTCTTAAGCTTTTTGTGAGTTTACATAGAAGAATAAAGGACAGACTTAAATGTTCAACTTATAATTCATCCAGAATTAAGAAAATTCCATAAAAAAACCCACAAAACATAAAAAACCATATCAAATGCAGCAAAACCTTTCTATTTTATTGTTTTCTAGATCTTAACGAGTTACATTTACTAATATGCATGTATTGCTCTTACAGGTTCTACTGGGACTTGATAATGCTCATCATGATGATGGGGAATCTAATCATCATTCCTGTGGGAATAACCTTCTTCTCAGAGCAGACCACCACCACCTGGCTGGTCTTTAATGTGGCTTCGGACACCATCTTCTTGGTGGACCTGGTCATGAACTTCAGAACAGGGATCGTGAATGAGGAGAGCTCTGAGATCATCCTCGACCCCAAGGTCATCAAAATGAATTACCTGAAGAGCTGGTTTGTGGTGGACTTCCTCTCCTCCATCCCGGTGGATTATATCTTTTTAATAGTGGAAAAAGGCTTTGACTCAGAGGTGTATAAAACTGCACGTGCCCTACGAATCGTCCGCTTCACCAAGATCCTCAGTCTCCTGCGTCTGTTGAGATTGTCCCGGCTCATCAGATACATACATCAGTGGGAGGAGGTGTGTATATGGCTGTTCAAAGCCTATAGATTTTACACAAAAAAATCAGGAAGTTATTTATCTAAAGTCCCTTGTATATATTTAAGATCTTAATGCTGCCATGGTAGAATTAACAGCATGGAAGCACTTTTGTTTTTTTACATACATAACAAATTCAATATAATAAAAAGCAACATTATCTCCTGCTTTTTATCATTTCAATATACAGAAATGTTTACACTGATGGGTTTCCTGCCATTGCCCTATGTAATGCATGGTCTTACTTTTACAGTGGACTCCAGAAATGTCTTCAGAAATTGTCAAGATTGTCTTGTTAAGTTCCATCTAGTTGCTGTGTAAGCCTGATTTTTTTCTGGTGAAGTTGGTTTTATCTATTATAAATTCTCCATGATATGAAGGTGTGCACTTTAAGAGAAAATCATATATGAAAGTAAGACAGGAAGCCGTTCTAGAGCTGCAATGTTGTGTGTGAGAGTTGTCTAATCAAAGCCTCTTTTTAGGATGCATGTCCAGAAAAAAAGAAATACTTTGAAGCGTTGCATTGACTTCTAAACAGATGCTCTCCTGTCAGCATAAGGCTGCCACTATCATGATGAACTACAGGGATGGTTTCATAGCTCAGTTCCTTTCCCCAAATTTAAGGTTTTGCAAATAGTGGCAAAAACTTAGTTTTTTCAGTATGGCTTTTGTGAAAGTGCCCAAATGATTTACATTTTCTTTTTACCAATGGGTCCTTAAACGCCCCCACATAAAGCAGCGTTTCGAATGCATGATCAATAACTGTCCTGAGTCCTGACAATAGATCGTCCCATGGAGCTATGGGTCTCTGCAAATCTTCCATATTTACCTTAGGGCCTCTTTGAAGCTTCTCTAAACACTACTACCTTGGCCATCCTGTCAAGTGTATTTATGTGCACCATGTCTTGCTACTGAAATGTGGTATACAAAGGAAGCTGCCTTATTTTGCCTATAGGCCATGTCTTGATATGTTCCTTTAATTTCTTTTAATGCTATTTTTCTAAGAATGCTTTTATTCTTTTTTAAGATCTGATCACATAAAACTAACAGGGGTAGGTAAAACTGGAAACATATGCATATATCAACTTCAGTTTTGCTAAAAAAAAAAAAAACGCAGCAAATAAACAAAAAAATATTTTATGCTCACAGATATTTCACCAATCACTGTATTTCCTTTTCAGTTTAATCTCTTTTTATGTCTGCTATCTATAATGTAAGTGCTCTTTGAAAGAGACAGTATGGAGCACAAATATTTGGTGCAGCAAGGTTAATGAAAATCTGCAGTGAGCATGCAGCCTTCAGTGCAGCATAGAGGGCCACGTCATAACGCCTGGTTAAAGAAGAAGAGCTCACAGCCTTGCTTTTCTCTCTGTTCTTCTCATTCACGTCATTCCACTTCCTCTCCAGTTGTCTCTCTTCTTTAATTTGTTTCCCTCATCTAGGTGTGTTGTCATGTCTTTTTAGCAAATTTTCCATTCGAGATGTCAGAGAGTTCATTTAAGAATACAGAGTTTGTGTCACTGAATAATCTGCAGTCTTTCTTAGATCCCTATTCATGACAGTTATCCACAGGAGATGTGAGTCGGAAAAGGTCCAACCTGTTTTAACATGTCAGGTGTCTGCATCAGGATTAGAGCACTAATGGAGGGACAAATCCAGTCTCTGCCATCGTAATGGGCTTCAAGCAGCGTACCGTCATTACATCAGTTCAGCTATAGACTTAGTTATTCAGGCAGTCAGTTTCCACAATAAGTCATCCTCCATCCTCTATCTTCATCCATCATTCCGTCTTCTGTCGTGGTGTGTTGGCCGCCCCCTTCTTCACTTTGTCACATCTCTCTCCTCCATCTGCGGAGAAACGAAGGGTGTTGTTTAATCATCACCATAGGCTGGACAGTCAGAGTTGGCCATATATCATTTATTTTTTTTTTTTTTGTTCAAGCTCCCTGAGATTTTTCCTCACCAGTCAATACTGTACTGTAGAGACAATAAAACCAGATTAATATGTTGTCTGTATTCATGCAATTATGTTTTCATTTTTACCTACTGAGAGAAAGCTTATTTTTACTTGAACCAAAGGATGGGGGCCATGTGTGTTAAGAATAGGTTTGTAGTCAGCTGCAGGTGTGTTGAAGGCAGTAAATCTGCCTCTTTGTTTTGTTAAACTTGCTTGTGTCAAAACAGGTACATGTAGGGTTTTAAATAAAAAAAGCTGAGTGGATACTTCCTATTGACTATGACCTATTTGGGAAAAAAAATATTTAAGAAAAGCTGGGTAGTTTGTTGAATGTTACACGCATGAATCCATCTACCTGATTGGAAAATTAAATCACCAGTGCACATTTAGACTCTACCTTGCTTGTTATTTCTGCTGCTGGTTGCTGCTTTTTTTTATTCATGGGTCTCTCTGTGTTTGATCAGCCATTCAAGCATTTGTTTACTCGCACATAATTATCACAATGTGGAGAGCTTTGGGAAATTATAGTGTACAGCATAAAGGTCATGCCGAGCAGTAAATATGGCGTACCCTTCAAACAGGACAATTTAAATAGGCACTGGCTGCTCAGAAGCCAGTGAACTGTACACTAAAGGAGTTCCTTTTCTCATCTTCTTGTGAGGAGGTGAATAAGGCAGATTGGATTCAAACGGGCATCAGCAGTTTTTTTTGTTTTTTTTTTACTGCATTATTACTGGAGTCTTTTTTCAAAACAATAGCAGACCATATATTTCAATACACTTCAAGTATTTCTTGAAAATCGAAAAAATATTCAATGTTTTGTCATGTAACATGTCTACAGTTTAAAGTATTTTGGATTTTTGTTTTTGTTTACCTTACACTCTAAGACCATGGCAATGTTAAACCATGAATCTCCAAATTATTCCATCTTACAATAGGCTTGAATCTTTGTAGGTTCTGATTTAATAAGTTTAAAGCATGACAATTTTTATCCCAACTGGTTGAGAATTGGAAATAAATCAGAGCTTCATTTTCCCACAGGAATATTAGCCCTGAAATATCTTGAGAAATTGCTTCTGGTTCTGGAAAAAAAAAAACACTTGGATAAAACAAACTGCGGCTCAATAGAAACAGTTGGCTTGCTCATGAAAGTTTATGGACTTTGATGTGCTCTTGGGCAAAAGACTAAACCCCAAGTGGCCTACAGATCCACCTATGGCTGCATAAAGGTACCCATTTTTGTTTGTGACTTAGTAAATATGGTGATATTTAAAGTCAGGTTCATGTCAGGGCTCTGAACACTTTACAAACTATACCACTACCATGTCTACATAAAGAATGAGATCAAGATTTTGCTTTGTTAAAGAGAAATGTATCCTTAAATGAGTGACTGTCAAAATATTGGAATATTTTTACATAATTTGACTGTGTGTAGATTACAATATTTTTTTGCTTGATATTTGTTTCTGAAAATCATCGAAGCAACTTTTTTTTAAGGTCATGCCACATTGAAAAGAAAAATGCCAAAACTAACAGGACTTTCATGCCTATAATAAGTGAAAGTGAATTTTAACTGCAGGTTAAATCAGTGAATGTGGTCATGAGAAAACTCTCATTTAAAGCCTGGTTGTTGCAGAACTCCTTTAAAGCATTAACATTCTGTAGTAGTAATTACTGTATATAATTAAGAAGCTCCATCCCCTGAAACTGATGAACTCTTGGTGATAATCAATAGTATTCTCAGTACTGAGGTCTAAAACAAGCTATTCTGCATTAATGTTGTACTTGAGGGAATACTTAAGGTACTTTAACTAAAGCAGCTGTGTTCACATTCCCCTTTTCTTTCACAGGATAGGGAACTCTTTACCACTCAGAGCTAGCTCTATTTCCATTTTGAAATTTTTAATTAAACTATAACTTCAAACCAACATACAGTTTACATAATCTTCTATAAAGAACAGAAAACAAAACTGCCAAAGCTGCCAGTAAAATAAATTTAAATGGATTAAATTTATTATAGTTTTGTGTTATTTTAATTCCTAGAGTGAATTTATAATTTCATTTAATGGGAGATTATGTAAACTTTCAAGCATAACTGTTGATATCACTAAATATTTCTCTACATCATATGGAGAATACAATATTTACCATGAAAGATTGTTAAAGTACCGTATAGCATTAAATTGTTAGAATACTAGTTTTAATAAGCAAGGACATTTTAGGTCATGTCGTCTATTTGAGAACACCATGAAGGACATCTATTAATGTAGTGAATAATTAAATCAGTTACTTTGCTTAAAAAAAAAAAAAAAAAATAACTGTGTTTTTTTAAATTTAATTTTTAAAGGTTAAACAAGAGTTTTTGCTGCTGTTGGCCAGCTTATTTGCTCTAAAATCATTTACATTTTATTAACTTGCTCTAGATTAATGTCCCTTGTTTTGTCCTCATTTCTCCAACATAGAGACGGAGAAACCAAGACATTTATTCTGCGTGTTTCATGGTGCAGAGCTTGTAGTTTATTCCGGTAGTGACAGATCACCTTGATTTCTTACTGGGTGAGCTTGCCAGCAACTCATATGTAATGTCTGAGAGTTTAATTAATTCTCTTTAATGATGACAATGACTAGTGGTGGCATTTTCTTTGTTTTATCTGCAAAATTCACCATCGTTTTGGGGATGTTTCAAGGACGTCTTTGCCCTCTGCTCTTGTGTTTTTCTGTTCTTCTGTCCGTATGTTTCACTTATTATTTCATGCCCTTGCAGACATAGAGCTAATTATCCAAATGACCTTAGAGTCATCATACTCAGGCCTAATCGTGTCAAAATTACAATGTTGTTTATACATGACCATCGTAATTTTGACATTTGTTCAAAAAGATTAATAAGAATAGGTTATTTAACTTGTTACTTCTGTGCTGGTTTTGCTCTTTTTATTTAATAAAAGATGCAATCACATAATTAAAGGATAACAGTTGTAAACTGCATGTAGAAAATCCCCAGAGCTCCCAGTGCCACATCTGGCTC